TAATCTAATAAATAATTTTAATTAGAAACTCCAAAGCCCTATGAAGGGTCTTCAATTATTATCCTCTAAATTATACGCGTGTGAAGATTTATATAACCTACTAAACATATAGCCCTATCTGATTTGGTACACCGTAACTTTGCAAGTTAGGATATGCCGCCATAATAAGGGTTGTTTTATCTGTTGTTCAATAGAAGTTACACCAAACTTGTGTTTTAGGTCTCGTGTTATATAAACATTTATCGGACGCTTAAACTGTAATGACTGTTTGAATTTTATATAAAACTAATTTTGCTTTTAAGTTTATAAATAACTTGTTCAAGCCCGCGGTTTCGTTTGCTTGGTAACTGGGGGATCAAAGGTAGCTTATTTCTATCCCCTGGATATTATCTATATCTCTGCAAAATTTTACCGATATCTGTTCAGCGGTTTAAGCTGTTTAAACTAAGCACTGACTGACTTACAACGCATAGTCTAAGACGAATTTTACTCAACACGATATAAATTTTACTCAATAATTATTTGTATGAAGAAATGACAACTAAAGGCCGCCTTTTGGTTTGGGTATAAAATTTATTTGTCTTTTTTATATTAGAAATATATACATTTATTTTAAGTTTATATTGTAAATACGTTTTAAGGTTAGTAAAGATTTCTCAGATATGAGATATTTTCTCGGAGTAAAAAGTCCTAAATGTTGACCCGGATAACCAGCTATCATCATACCAAATTTCATCAATATCTGTCCAGTGGTTTTTCTCGTGATGCCTTCTCAGACAGTCAGATAGACAAATAGATAAAAATTAAAAAAAACTATAGATTCGGCCTCTGTATCAGTTATATTGACAATTTCATTAAGATTTTCCTAAAAATATTTAATTTACAGATTCGACTCAGAATTTTACTATACGAGTATGTAATATATATATATAAGTACCAAAATGTAAAGTGTTGGGTTTAGTTAAAGCCCAAACATCTTTAAATTAACGTTCATTTTAAACTACAAGTACTGTAGTAATATTTTGTTAATGAAGAAAATAAAAAAAGAGTGTAATTGAAACGTTTTAAAAACTGACATCTTCTAGCCACCCGGAATTAAGCAAACATTTATGCAAGAACTTAATTCTAAATATTTTTAAATACAATATTTTTAGATGTACTAGCAACACACCCTCGTTCCGCTCGGGTTCGTCTTTAGTTACGTTTTAACTGTTAGTATACCTAGATTTCTCAGATGCGAGATATTTTGCCAAATTTCATCAAAATCCGTCTAGTGGTTTTCTCGTGATACGCTCTCAGATAGACAGAATGACAGACAGACTAATATTTTTAAATACAATATCAAAGACATATGATATATAAATAAAGTAGAATTACAAGTTGTTTCATTAAAGATATTGACTTGATTCCCAACTTCTGGCAAAAGTTACTTTGATCAAAGTTACTTAAAATATTAAGTAAATATTGAAGTGTTGTTTTAATGTTTTAATTATGCAGAATTTGGAAATAACAATGTTTTCTGCTATTTACAGATATTCGAATCTTGTTTTCGGTTGTTTGAAATCTCGTGATCTAAATAGCATCTATTCTACATGACTTTTAACATGAATATACTACATTCTACAACACACTTGTTAATTTAGAATAAGATCAACATTTTTCTAATCCCGTTAATCCCATAAATATCATAAATGCGAAAGTTTGTATGGATGTTTGTTACTCAATTACACCAGAACGGCTTAACAGATCTGGATGAAATTAGCACAGAGATAGATAATTGTCTGGAGAAGCACATAGGTTACTTTTTATCCCGTAAAAATATACGGTTCCCGTGGGATAGTTTGTTTTTCAGTTGTTAGTATTTTCATATGTCTAGTAAAAATTCATGAGTGATTACGATATTAACAGTGAGTGCATGAAAAGCTTATAAATAAAACATTGTCCTTCTCAAAGAAAAAAGTGCAGATAATATTTATAAAGTTTACATTAATCAAGTATTAAATTACAACCAATTTTCAAAATCATAGAATTAAGATATTTGATCTAAAAGTTTTGAGATTCTTTAAAATACTCTTCCATTTCCGGTTTATCGCTTATCCTATTTGAAAGACCACTCTTTTATCTCATTGCAGAAATAATCCTCTTTGACAGAATTTTAGCAGAAATACGAGACAATTTGAATTTGTTTAAAATAAATCAAAACAACGGTATAAGTCGCGGATCAATTTTTTACAATATCATAATCCTGTAGTACTAACGAGCTTTCGTTAAAGTTTATAGAAAAAGACGTTTATCGGTAGCTTGTAGTCTTTTCTATTTAACGTCTTAAATCTTAAATTGAAGGAATACTAATATTATAAATGCGAAAGTTTGTGATGATGTATGTATGTATGTCTGGATGTATAGATGTATGGATGTTTGTTACTCGTTCACGCGAAATTTAGTGAATAGATTTTAATGAAACTTCACAATAATATAGCTCATATCAGAATAACACATAGGCTACTTTTTATCCCAGAAAAATGTACGGTTCCCGTGGGATAGATTAGTTTTTATTTACTTAGAGGCGAACCCGAGCGAAGCGAGGGTAAACCGCTTGTTATATCATAAAAAAGCTTCAGTAAATCGGAAATTATTTAAAGGTTTACATTCCGCCATAAGTTTTAATGGAGCTACTTTTTAAACCTTTATGATTTCTTACAATTTTATGAATTACTTAATGAAAATTTGCATGCTTTATAATTAATATATGCAAGTTAAATTTACAACCAAGCTATATTATTTTAAATGTTTAAAAATGGCACAAATAATGTTAAAAAATGAATGAAAATTTAATAAAGAAATGTGAAATATGATATTGATGGATTGCCAATATTATTATTATTATTACATTTAAATTATTATCTATAAAAGTCAAAACATCCGTCTTATGTTTAAGACATGAGAGATTAGGTATAGTAAACACATATAATTAATTTGAACTTTGTAATAAGTAAAGTATTCATCACCACAAACTAAATGTGTGAATTGTGCGTATATTTTTAATGCTTATTTACTACTGAAGATTATTTATTTAAAAATTGAAGATAATCCTATCAGCCATTAAATGCTATTTTATTAATTATATTAAAAATGGAAAGAATCTAATATTATTGTATAATACTGTTATATTGCTGTAAATCTAACAACAATAAAAACATATTATATTGAAATTTATAGAAATGTAGAAACCATCCAGAAGCAAAAATTTCTTTAAACAAATAAAGTAGCCTTACTAAGAAATAAGACCTTTTTAGTTTAGCATAAAAAATATAATCCTATTAGAAATGAAAATTATATTCAAAATTACTCAAAGAAAGTAAGGCACAAATTCAGAATTGGGGACTTGGCCCCTAGCGGAGTGGGTGGTATTTCTGGATAAGGGACGTGATAGGGAGTCGAAATGTTAAATAAATTTTTTAATACAACAAAAGATTCAAAAGTTATTGAGACTTAAAGTTACAACATTTCCATACATTTTCATATATTTCTTTACCACCATTCGGAGTGGGTGGTATTTTTAGATAGGGGAGGTGACAGAGAGTCAAAATATATTAAAAATATTTGGAGGAAACGTACGAGTAAAAAGTTATTGAGACTTAAAGTTATAACATATCTAACACATTTCCATACATTTCTTTACCTAAATAAGTGATTACAACAGATAAACATACCTTTATCGAATAGTACGCATCCTTTTTTATGTACATTACACATTTTCACAACAATTAATGCTTTATTGTATTTAATATTTTAATAATTTCACAACACAAACAAAATGATCTTACATTTTGACAAAAGCAAAACTGACACTTTGTTTTATATTACCGCTTAAATGACAACAGATTATATTTGATTATTTTTGCTTTTTCTGTTGGTAAAATATTACTATTAATAAATAAATAAATAAAAAGAAAAATATTATTTTCACTTTATAAATACATTTATGACTTTTTATTTGATTTATGTAAAATATATTGTTTTACAATTGTACATTTAGTAAAAAAAATCATTTTTTTATCTGTGAATATTTTTAATTATTTATTTATTATTCGTCATAACTGGGTTAGGTTAGGTTAGAACATTTAAGATTATTTATTTATTATTCCTCATATCTGGGTTAGGTTAGGTTAGAACATTTAAGATTATTTATTTATTATTCCTCATATCTGGGTTAGGTTAGGTTAGAACATTTAAGATTATTTATTAATTATTCGTCATATCTTGGTTAGGTTAGGTTAGAACAGTTGCCACAACGCACGAGCCGAGCGAGCGAAGCGAGCGTGCCGCGGTAGCGGCCGGCGAGTGCCATAAATGACTAGAAAACTAGAAAATTCGAATTTCACGCAAAGTACAAATAAAGACAATCATCTGGAGATCATTTTGACAATTGAAAGTGACGTTTTGACTCCAAGTGTCTAAATGGTAGTAATGTCAAAATAATGTATGGAAATGTTATAACTTTAAGTCTCAATAACTTTTGACTCTTTTGTTGTATTAAAAAATTTATTTAACATTTCGACTCTCTATCACGTCCCTTATCCAGAAATACCACCCACTCCGCTAGGGGCCAAGTCCCCAATTCTAAATCGCCGCCGAAAGTAACTTACGAAATATATCAGTCATCAATCATTTTGTGACTCTATCAAGAAGTGATTAACTATAGCACCTTAACTTGAAGCTTTGTAAGAATGTTAGCGAGCTTAATTGATATTGATGGATTGCCAATATTTATATATTGGCAATATTTGAGAAACGTCCTTTCAATACAAAAACAAACAAAATTCAAGCCCAGAACAGGCTAAAATGTTCAACAATTATCATATTTACAACATATAAATTAAGTATATACAAATTTTAAACAAATCGACTAGGATTTTTAAATTTAACGTATAATAACAATTCCAGGACACAGGAAATACAACGGTCAGAATCACTGAAGCATAGAACCTTGTACGTACCGTTGAAACAGGTTAGCAGCCACACGAAAACAGTGCACAATTGGCTAAGCCGTTTATCTTTACGTCGCACCATTGTAAGGAAATCATCGAACCACCACTAAAACCTCACTATTAAACGTGACGTAACGTAAAGTCTCTATACTACTACCGCATGTAAAGACGTCCACACGCTTTGACGGCTAGCGCTCGACTGAGTAAAGGCTTCGCAGGGGGCAGGGTAGAGTGTTTTGCATCGCAGTCGGGACCACGTGCCGACTCTAGTCGTTCAGGATGTTGATTTTTGTTTTTGTTACATTAATGAAAATAATTTTACTACAAACATTCAATTTACGCGTATGTACTTTTATTTTAATTCTTAAATAACACTAAGTTTCAGCCCCAATCTAAGGGTAAGCAAAGTTACGAAACTTAGCCTAAATATAATTATTGTATTACAATATTGTTTCTATATTGCTAATATTTCTATAATGTTGAGTTTCTCGCCGGCTCTTCTCAGCGGAACTGTCCGCCGAGCCGGTGGTAGATTCCTCACGGACTGACTGACTGACCTACATTGACATTTAATTGAAATTTAAAATGTAAAATCCTCAAGATGCAAGCTATAATAAATAAATAAATAAATAAATAAATAAATATGTTGGGACATTAACACACAGCACCATCTAGTTCCTTGGTAAGCTGCGAGGCCTGTGTTATGGATACCTGTGTTATAGATACACTACACATATATAACTTTAAATACATACATATTATAAATATAAACAGCCATGACTAGAGTACAAACATTCGTCATCACACAAATTAATACCTCCAGCGGGACTCGAACCAGCGACCGCTGGCACAGCAAGTAGGGTCACTACACCTGAGCCAAACGTGTCGTCAAAGCTTTTCAGATTTCATCAAAATCTATTCAGTATGAATCTAAGATAACAAGATAGATCAGCACGCGTAGTTCAATTATGTGCTACTCTTGTAAATATTTAAAAATTATAGCCACTCTGATGTAAAAGTTACATAATATGTTAATGTGAAGTTTCATCAAAATCCGTTTAGAAGTTTTTGCGTGAAAGAGTAACAAACATCCAAACATCCATACATTGTCACAAACTGCCGCGTTTATAATATTAGCTGGATCTGTAATATTATATTAATATGGATATCAAATATCAATGTAGAATCTGTTTATAGTAACAATACTATATTGAAAGAATAAATAAAGTTTTAGCGAATTTCATATGCAAACATGGCTACAAAAATAAAAAGCTAGCTAATTAAATATAACATACTAGCGACTCACCCTCGCTCGGCTCGAATTCGTCCCTAGTTAAGTTTTAACGTTTAGTATACATTTCTCAGAGATAAAATATTTTCCCGCACTAAAAAGTATCCTATATTTTAACATGAAGGATACCCGGAGAACCAGTTATCATCGTACTAAATTTCATCAAAATCTATCCAGTGGTTTTCTTGTGATGCGTTCCCAGACAGACAGACAGACAAAAATTCTAAAATCTATAGATTCGGGGTCTGTATCGATAATAATGACTATTCCTATAAGATTTTCCAAAATGTATAGAATTTACTCAGTTAGAATTTTATGATATGTACTTATAGATTAGATAAACTTTATATTTTATAATTCTCAATAAAAAATCTTTAAAGATTTAAAAAAAAACATGCAACGATTTCATAACGTTAATGTTTTAGTAAACTCGCATTAAAGTCATGGAAGTCACGCCTTGTCGTGATATCAGGAATTTGATGCCAAGTGTTCCCAAAAAACTTTGAGGTTCACTACGACTTGAGAACTTTTATGAACAACCACCGAGATTCCCTTCTGCGACTTAGTTTTTAATACTTTCTTATGATATCCAGATGTTAAAATTGTGAAAGCTTTTTGCTTTAGATAATTTATAAGAACAGAATACTTGAAATATGCTACATAAGCTTAGAAAACTTAATTGAACTGAGGTTATTAATATACTAACAACTTACCCTCGCTTCGCTCGGGTTCGTCCCTAGGTTGATTCCCCATAGATGCTTTCATCCCCATTTTCACCCATTTAAGGGATGATTTCCGGGATAAAAACTGTCTGATGTATGTCAACCTTCTTACCAAATATCATCTAAATCGGTCTAGTAGTTGCGTAGCTATTTGGTACAAGCAAACAAACAAACAAACAAACAAACAAAAAATCTTTCTTCGTTATAATATTAGTACCTATAGAAGTAAAGATGATAATACAATATTTTTTTTTATTTTAATTTATATTAATACGACGAAGATTGGACATTTTAAATAAAACTATCATTTCGGATTTTTTCCTAACATCGCGTCGGGAACTAAAAATCTATATTAATCCGCGATAAAATCCGAAAACAGTTTAATTTAAAATTAAGATACTGTTAACAAGTTATTATTAACTAGCGACTCACCCTCACTCCACTCGGGTTTGTACCTATTTACGTTTTAATATTTAGTATAAATTTCTCAGAGACGAGATATTTTCCGCAGTAAAAAGTATCCTATATGTTGACCCGGATAACCAGCTATCATCATACCAAATTTCATCAAATTCTGTCAAGTGGTTTTCTCATGATACGTTACTAGTCAAACAGACAGAGAGACGAAAATTCTAAAAACTATAGATTCGACCTCTGTGTAGTAATGATAACTTCAATATAATTTTCCAAAAATATTTAATGTAAAGATTCGACTGAGTTAAAATTTTATTATAATTATGTAGCTACGAGTATATATAACGTTTCATTAGATGCAATAGATTTTAAGACATAACTCAAACTTTCCATAGAGTCATATACTAGTCATGTCTAGTAAGCAAGAGTCATGTTCAGATGGGTTGAACTAAACACAAACATGTGCCAGCGAAACTGCAATTACGTAATATAATCGTTTACTTAGTAACATTAATGTTAGCTTCGTATCTTACTTAAGATAAACAATCGCTTTTGAGTATATAAGTGTTATATATATGAGTATATAGTAAATATAAGTGATATATGCGTAAATGAAATAATTATTTTAAAATAGCATTGCCCGCGGCTCTGCCCGCGTTGAGATGACCAAAAACCAAATTCTTAGGTTTTATATATTAGTATACTGTTACATTGTAGTTTTTGTATTTTTTCTCAGAAATAAGACATTTTCTCGCGGTAAAAAGTATTCTATATGTTGACCCGGATAACCAGCTATCACCATACCAAATTTCATCAAAATCTCTCCAGTGGTTTTTCTATGATGCGGGTTACCGCATCATAGACAGACCGACAAAAATTCTAAAAACTATATAATAATGTTTATTTCAATAACATTTTCAAAAATAAATTTAATGTACAGTTTCGGCTTCGTAAAAATTTTATTATAATATATACCTATAGATATGCCTATAGATATTTATAATATATATTCTATTTCTTTTTTAAACTTTAACAAAAAAGGAGAGGCTATCCATACCTATTATAATAAATACGTGAAAGTAACTCTGTCTGTCTGTTTCGTTTTATTCCTAAACCGCTGAATCAATTTCGATGGATTTTGGTATAAAGATAGATAGGACTTTGGAGAAAGATTACTTTTTGTCGCGAATATAAAACTTGAAGGGAGTGAAATGAAAGTATGAAAGCCGTATGTTTTTGCTGCTAAAGACATAAAAGTGAGCTATATATTCTGGTATATTATATGTAATTGTATACAAAATAAAGAGTCATATTTTATAATGAGGATCAAGAGAAGCGAGTTTGGGATTATTAAAAATGCAAAACACTTGTAAGATTTATATAATAACTAGCTTCCCTCGCTTCGCTTTGGCGCGTCCCATAGATGCCTAACAATAGCCTAGGTCTTACTCCTTGTTGTAACCTATCTGTATACTAAATTTCATCAAAATTCGACCAGTTACTTCAACTTGAAGAAGTAGGATGTATCGAACATATAAACACACATACATATTTTCGCATTTATATAGTATTCCGATGGTAGTAAGCAACAATACAGCTTGTCTGTGCCTATAAATATTGCACATAATCAATCCACCGAGTTCCCAACTTTGGGTTGTTATTAAGTATATTTTCATAACTCTAAACTCAGTAGAAAAAAAGGCTTGATTCTAGACTCAAACTCAAGACCTCATGATCTGTAGCCGTACATAGCCACTAAACTAACGAACCAAAACTTGCCAGGTCTTTTTAGACATGCAAGTTTTCTCACGTTCTTCCTTCACCGAAAAACCAGTACTCGTAGTAATCACGTTGAAAATGATTCGCACAAGAAAATATTAGAGCGAATCCCGAAATTTGAACCCGCATCATTGCCTACCTATGCCTATATAAATGAAAATAAAAATAAGCAAACACCCATGCAATACCTGGTCAAAACCACATATTATGACAAATATATTTTGCCAGTTCGGTAAAATGATAAAACAAATTTATTATACCAAACGCTTTAGTTAGTTCATTAAGCTCGCCTGTCAAACGAGATATTAGTTAAACGAAATGATCGTGTTTAAATTAACCATGTGAAATGATTTGAATATTTCTATGAAAATATTGTTTATCTATCAATGTTGTATTGACATATTTTTTTTTAATTATACTTAGTTATGAATGTATAGCTTTATATTACTACTCGCGACTCACCCTTGCTCCACTCTAGTGCACCTACGCTTTTCCGAGGGAGGGCTTATTTTATCAACTATTTATTGAAGCTAAAAACGTAATATATAAAAGAATCCAGCGATCTTTTAATATAATATTCTTTATTTAATTATCATATTTTTATACCAGGACAGGGGCACCCTCATTGCAGGCGATGGTAGGAATATTGAACTTTACTTTTACTTTAATTGATACTGAAATGTAGTGCAACAATAGCCTCTGCCTTATATTACTATTTTTTTAACGTTCGCGTTCAGATGACCAAAAAGAAATTCTTAGGTTTTATATATTAGTATACTATTACATTGCAGCTTTTGTATTTTTTCTCAGAAATGAGATATTTTCCCGCGGTAAAAAGTATCCTATATGTTGACCCGGATAACCAGCTATCACCAT